AGTAGAGTCACCTATGTGAGTGTGAAGTGGGGCCGCTTATAGAAGAATTGGGCAGGCCAAGATTCTTTGAAACTACTCGCTGAACCAGGCTAGTGTCCAGGGCCACATAGGGCACACCAGTGAGAACAGAATGGTGGTAGGAGTAATTCCGTGTGAGATCTATTGTCTTAGTTTACATAAACGGCAGAGCAGTTCAAGATGTCTTATTCACTGATCAGCCAGTAAACTCAAAAGGTTTTCACTGGGAGAGGTTCAAAGCCAAAAGCTACCTTCTCTGATGTCGGGGTTAGTTCATTGTACTCTCTCTTTGAGTCATTATTATTAAATGATGTCCGTTTGTTGAGTCTTTCGGTCAATTTTTATTCATGTAGGGGATTGTTAGAAAAATTAATTTTTGGTGACTTTAATTTAATATTAAAATGTGGTGATTTTAATTAAATATTAAAGTGGGTACCAACCTTTTATTGTGTTAGGTCCAAGTGAGCCAAAAATCATTGGGTTTTGAATAAGAAATTGCCAAGAAATTGCCTCATGATGTTAGATTCATGAATAGAATTTTAAAGAGTATTTAAATCCTTTTTCTTGGCTAAAGGGTGTGAATCCTTTAGGCATCCAAACTTTCATATTTTTTAAAAGGGGCTATGGATGTTTGGTGTTTTAATGACCAGCCTTAAAGGCTGGAGGCTCTTCTTCTCTCCCCTTTACATGTATAAATTGAGACCCTCCTATCGAGTTTCAATATAGAAATTTTTTGCTTCCATTTTACAAGTCAGTTTGCCAGAAAGTTCCTACATTGAGAGAGTGCTGCCACTGTTCTTGTTCGCTAAGCTAGACAGAAAGTGCTTCTGCCGTAGCAGGTTTTGACCGTCGTATCCTGGGAGACAGACGCCGAGTTTCCTCAAGCACTCGACTCGTGAGGCGGCGAAATCTGTTTTAAGGAAACTGCTTCCGTGCAGGCTTCGGTTTCGTCTCTTTACCCTTTTATTGTTTTGTGTATTTATGTTGAAATTTAGTTGTAATTATCAGCATATGTTTTTGGTATATAATTTGATTTCTTCATAAATCTATTTATTTAATTTCAAAATTGGTTTTCACTAGGAGAGGTTCAAATCCAAAAGCTACCTTCTCTGATGTCGGGGTCTGCTACATCGGTCCGACATGACCCCGTAAACTGTCTGCTACAACGGTCTGACACGACCATACCGTGTCTCCTATCCTGTTTTATTTTATTTATCAGTTTATTTTTCTGTTTTGTTACTCTCTTCAAACTCAAGTTGGTTAGTGCCTATCCTCCTTGAGTTTGAGGGGGGCTGTTAATGTAAATTGTAAATTGTGTAAATTACCCCACCACCAACTCCACCTACCATCTCCACTACCACCCACCACCTCCACTACCATCCACTACCACCACTCACCTACCTCACCTACTCCCAAATCCTCTCCTATATAATAGCTTGTAATATACAAAATATATACAACAATCTTGTAATACATCAATCAATAATAATACATCAGTTATTTTACAAAGCCAAACACCAACCACTGCATACCAACACAACTCATGAACCCTCTAATAAAATATACCCCTTTCAAACCAAACACACCACAACACACACCCAGGACAAATCATCGTCCCCCACTTTCCATCACAACCCGAACTCCATCTAAAATTTATTTACTTGCACCCGACTAGCTAACTCTCTCTCTGACTCCAACTCTATTAATTTTTCTTTCTGATTTTGGCTTTGTTGCTCATCTCCAAGGACTTACACGAATATCTTATGAAATAATTGAGATACAAATACATAAAAGATGATTTTTCACTAAATTCCATTTCTTATTATATGAGGATAGATAAATTAAGGTTATGGTTATAATTTTTAGCTTTAATTACACTTTTCACCCATGTAGTTTAATCCAATTTTCACTTTAGTTCCTATAGTTTCAATTTGAATAATTTAGCCCATACACTTTAAGTTTAATTTCAATTTACTCCTTCCATCTAATTTTTTGTTAATTTTGTCTACGTGTGCACCTTAGAAAATTGATATGTCAAAATTGTTAATATTAACCTCAAATTTAAACAAAAGAATCAAATTGAAATTTTAAAAAATTGACAAGTGTCTCGAAATTATTAATTTTAACTTTCAATTCAAACCGAATGACCAAAGTAACACTAGATTTGAAATGTATGAACCAAATTGTTCAAATTAAAACTATAGCAACAAATGAAATTTGAGCCAAACTATAAGGTTGAAAAGTATAATTAATCCTAATTTTTAATATCAGTTGAATTTTTATGTAGAAAGTCTGATCCAGTTTTGAAAATGGGTTTAGCTCACTATTAAAGATATAAACAAAATAAATAAATAAAAATTAGATATTGGAGTGATATATATATGTTGAATTTTTATTATTATCATTATTATTATTATTTATTTTTCGTTGATCAAGGAATATGAGAAGAAAAATTTTATAATTTATAAGTGATTCCAAATCAAACCATATCAAATTGATGTGTTTCTTTATTGTGTTCTTATTATTCTGTAATATTTGAATTTAATAAAATTATTGAAGAGTTCTCGTGATTCTTGTTTCTAATTTTTAATTCCTACACGTGATCTTGTATCACATTTTGGAAATCAATTAGCACAACAACGTGAAATACATAAGTTTAATATATAGTCAACAACATAAAATAAACCTAAAACAAAATATTGAAACTGTGTTTAATTGGAAGATTTGATGAGGGAAATGAAAATGAAAATGTAAGAGAAAATAGAAAGAAATTGAGAAAAAATTGATAGAATTTGAATTCCAAGTTATGTTTGGTTAAGTTGAAAAGTAGAGAAAGAAAATAGCCTAAGTGAACTAAAAAACGAAAAGTAGAATTGTATTTTCCTCTCACTTTTTTTTTTCTTATTTTCTGTTATAACTGAATAAAAAGTGCGATTGTATTTTATTTTCCTTTCTATTTTTCTCATCAAATTCTCTAATCAAAAAATTCTCTAATCAAACACAATTTAAGGAGAACTTTATTCATACCTGAAAGACATACAAATTTTTTTAAAAATAATAATGGAATAATGTCATTATTATAAATAAATTTATTTTTAATAATATTTTATTTTGAAGTAAAGTGTAAACAATAAACTATATCATTATATATGAATTTTTTAATTATATATGCTTACTCAAACACTAATATATTTAGATAAAGTAAGGTCACATGACCGCCCGTATAGAATAAATGATCATGTAGAAGCTCATTTTGCGACTGTGTTTTTTTTATGGGATTAATTACATTTTGAGTTCTCGAAATATGAGACTTATACTATTTTGATTTTTAATATTTAAATTATATCAATTTAATTCTTGAAATTTTTTAATTTGATCTTTAATATTTAAATGAAAAAATTAGTGATAAATTCAATTTAAAGAGTATATAATGTATTAGGTCCAGGAGATATATTTTATTAGTAAGAGATCCATGTTTTCTAAAATAGTTTGGTAAGAAGTCCTAAAAGATATTTTGTTTTCAATTTTACCCCTTGACTTTTTGTTGACTATCTATTCAAATTTATATCTATCTGTTCAAATTTTATTCTATCTGTTCAAATTGTTTGTCTATCTATTTATCCAAATTTTATCTATGTATATTTTCTATCTATCCAAATTTTTGTGTAAATTTTCTATCTGTCAAATTTTCTACCTGCTAAAATTTATCTGTTCAATTGTATCAATTTGTTCTTATGTAGTGAAAGATTCACAATCTGTAAAAATCCTATATGTTCATCATCTCGAGAAGTTGTTCACCAAATCCTATCTGTTCATCATTATCATCATCATCAATATCAACAACAACATCAAAAAATTAAAAAATAAATAAACAGATTTGTTGAACTCATCACCAAATCCTATCTGTTCATGATCATCAACAACAACATCAAAAAAATAAATAAATAAAATAAACAAATTTGTTGAACTCGTGTGAAACCCTCAGATCTGAGATAGATACTTCCAATGAGATAGATCTGCAAATATGAGAAATAACATATTCAGCAATAGCAATAACATATTCAAATCTGAGATAGATATTCAGATCTGAAGATGAAGATTCAACAACAATAACAAAAAGAGTGTGTGTGTGTTTGAGATCACCATTACACTATATCACTCACTTCCAAATTTAATTAGTGATAATATATATATATATATATAGAGAGAGAGAGGGAACAGCAAGGAAAGAGGATGATGGTGGGGCTAATCTTGTCATCTTCCGAAGCTTTTTAGCGAGATCTCACAGAATGAATCGCTCAAATCTTGAACCTTCTTTCTCAGATCTGTATGGTAGTGGTCTTTCCCATCGATCTCTCTCTCTCTCTCTCTCACTCATGTCTAAAATCACTGGCAACGTGTGTGTGTGTTTGAGATCACCATTACACTATATCACTCACTTCCAAATTTAATTAGTGATAATATATATATATATATATAGAGAGAGAGAGGGAACAGCAAGGAAAGAGGATGATGATGGGGCTAATCTTGTCATCTTCCGAAGCTTTTTAGCGAGATCTCATAGAATGAATCGCTCAAATCTTGAACCTTCTTTCTCAGATCTGTATGGTAGTGGTCTTTCCCATCGATCTCTCTCTCTCTCTCTCTCATGTCTAAAATCACTGGCAACCGCCTTATTGGTGAAAGTGGAGGGAGAGAGAACTTGTTGAAGCTTTCTGGTGAGATCTCACGGCGGCGAGGAGTAGCACGATAGCAATGGTGTCGGAGGATATGACGACTTTGGATGCAGAGGGAAAAGAAAGAGGAGAAAGAAAAGGAAATGGGAGAGAGATATAAGAGAGAGAGAGAGAGAGAGAGAGAGAGAGAAAGAGAGAGAGAGAGAGAGGGACGGTAAGGTTTGGACCATATTATATATATATATATATTGAAGGATATTTTAGTCATTTTGTTTGAATTTGTCCTTTTGACCAAAGTGTTTCAGTGCCTAGACCTTTGGACAAACAAAATTAAAATTTGGACTTCTACCAAATGCCCTATTTAAATTGTGTTAATTTAGTTCTCAATATATAAAAATTGAATTAACACAATTTAAATATTAGAGATAAAAATAAAACAAACTCATTCTTTATGAACAAAAAATGTAATTAGTTTTTTTTAATAGGAAATGAAAGATTGCACACAAACTTTTCTCTTTCATTTTAAGCAATTATGGATTATAAATTTTCAACCACAAAAAAATAATAAATAAATAAATCATTGAATTGGAAATATGAACTACTAGCCCTCTAGTCTCAAGTTCAATACTTACTATCTGCTATAAGTTTTTTAAAGTCAGTCCATATAGGGTGTTTACTCTGACTTTAAATGAGATATCTGCAAGTGCGCGGTAGAATTAATCTTCCAAAATTATTTGAGGTACACATAAATTGACACCAAATTATCAACCAAAAAAAAAAAAAAAGTTAAGAAAGGTTAAATCCAAACATTAAACGAAGAAGTGGAAGTACTTACTGGTTACCACTGAATCAACCACTCGGTGGTTATATAGGATACGCTTTCAATAATCCCCCAACTCCAACTCTCTCTCTCTCTCTCTCTCTCTCTCTCTTTCTCTGTGTCTTGTTGGCTGTGATTGTGTGAAAAATGGAGATGCCAATGATGGATACATTCTTCATCCCTCATGCAATGTTGAGGAATTCAGTGGAGAGCACCCCATCAAGGCCTTTTCTGAAAAGCTGGAAGGAGGAGGTGATGGTAAGACTGCCCAAACCCAAATCAATTCTCATAGTTTCAGCCCACTGGGACACTTGTCATCCTACAGTAAACCTTGTCCATCACAATCAGACCATGTATGACTATGAGAATTTCCCAGCTTTCATGGATGAGGTAAGTAAGCTATTTAATTTAAAGCTGTTTTGACACTAATTCTTGCTTGCAAATAGGATCTGTTTTTCAAAAATAAAAACAGAAAAGGAAAACATAACCCCAAAAAAGATACACAAAGTTCTGCTATTATAAAACATTAATTGTCCAAAAAGAACATCACTTGTAACTTTGTGTGGTATTAGATTGAGTGTATTTGGTGGAAGCTGATTTTGAGACAATTTTGCCTTTTCACTTATTTGTTTTATTGAAATTTTAAAATAAAGTAATTTCAAGGACAAAACTATAATTCAATATGACTTTAACTTTCTGAACTAAACTACATTTCATTTTACCACCTTCAATTGATTTAAATTTGTTGGATCATTTTTGTGTGTTTTTTTTAATCGATAAAATAAAGAAAGGAAAGCCACACGTGTTGCAGTATAACTCGAGTCTCGATGCTTTGTAAGCTAGTGTGGAGATATATTTTCTGAATACCAACACGTGGCATGGTGACACCGACGTGTCAGCCGAGGTGCCACGTGTCCTGGTCGTGACGCCGAGATGATCTCGGCGAGGCCGAGGTTAACTCCGAAGATATCGGAATCCGAGATAAACGAATAATGGACAAGAGTCCTAAGACGAAGAGGGGACTTAACCAAGATAAGGATAAAGCTCTTAGGGAGTTTATCTTTATCTCTTAAAGAGTCCAAAGTAAGCACTAAATTAGAGTTCATAGAAGTCATACTTCTAGTAGGACTTGGATTGAGTATATTATAAAAGAGAGGCACCCCCGTGGGTCTAAGGTATGCAATTTATGTTTTGAGTATTAAGTTTTGCACTTGATTATCTTAGAGAGATATACTGACTTGATCGTCGGAGTGCCCCCGGGTGGAAGAACCACCGCCGGATCCTTTTCTTTCTGTTACAGGTTACTGAAGCCATCTATTCTGCCTGTGCTCTCTAGTTGGTTACTAAGCAGGCAGTGTGGTCAGATTTTCACCCACACAGCTAGGGAGCTCCTCACCAACCAAACCAATCCCACAACCCCATTCCTTGGTCGGAAAAACAATACAAAAACAAAAACAAAATAAAAAAATAAAAAATAAAAAAAATAACTATCACAGTTAAAAATTGATAGATCTAAGCATATTTTTGATGAAATTACAAGAGCCCCAAGTGTAATTAACCCTAAAATTGATTCTTTAAACTTTTGAACTTTATTCCTTGATGAGGTCATAGAAATCCTCATAATGAATAATGATTTATTAGAGAGTACGGAACGTGGCACTCCGGAAGAATTTTACAATTTTTTAAATTACAAATATACTTCCTAAGATTTACTTAAAATACAAATTGTTCATGTGATTCTAGAAATTACATCTCGTCCTTTGAAATTTTTAATTTTATAACAAATAGCCCATTTTATCAATAAATCATCAAGTCAACTAACAATTTTTATTGATGTTAGAAATATATTTTAATTAATAATTCATATAATTTTATAGGAGACGACAGCGTACAATTGGGCTGGTGGGGCCACCAAGGATCCTATTTCGATGATCTGAATTGTTAAATGTGTAGAGCTCGTCGAGTACTTCATGCTTGCAAAAAATCACGTTGACCGGATATCGATAGTCTCTTGATCAGAATATATTTTTGTCAATGGTAAATATGATTTTAAAAAGAAATTGTTAACAAAAATATGTTCCGATCAAGAAGCTACCGATATCCAATCAACGTGATTTTTTGCATGCATGAAGTACTCAATAAATTCTACACATTAAATAGTTCAGATCATCGAAACGAGACCAGTGGTGAGTCTCATGGGCCCAACAGTACGCTCCAATCCATATAGTGGATTGGATAGAAGCCTCTTCCTAATTTTATTACTATATAAAGAGTAGTTATGAATTTTATTTTTTTAATTAATTATGTTAAATAAAAAATTCTTATACAATGGGATATTTGTAATTATTCAAACCATATGAAACAATCTATATTTGAAGTATATCTCAGGGGTGTATTTGTAATTTGCCATGAAATTTTTTAATTAAAACACTTTGGAAGTGTTTGATTACATGATTCAACACTTAAAACAAACATACTAAATGATAATCAATTAAGCCAGTTTAATAACCACAATGAAAATTACTTAGAATTTTAAGTACCTCTTAAAATATAAGCTAAAACTTAATAAAATTTCAAGTCATATGAAACTTTATTTAATTTTGGCCGAATTTATAAATATTAAACATAAATATCAATATACAGTATTATAAACTCACCACCACTACCACCACCACAACTTCCACTACCATAACCACCACCATCATGCTACCGATATCACTACCACCACTATCATTACCATGACCACCACCACCACCACTACCACAATCATCACCACCACCACCACCTTCATCACTATTGTCATTGTTATCATATGTACCATTATCATCGTTATCACTACCACTACCATCATGTCAACGCCACCACTATCACCACCACTACTACTACCACTACCACCACCACCATCATACCATCACCACCACCACCACCATTACCATTACCATTACCATCACAATATAAAAATTAAAATATACAATTTGAAAATAATAAATTTTAAATTTGATTTTACACATATCCAACAAGTTATTTTTAATTTCGCACTTCAATTTTCATCAAACACAGCTTTTCAACATAAAAATTTCAACGTTCAACTTTCAATCTTTAATTTTCAATTTTCAACTTTAAAGCTGAAAACTAAAAACTAAAGACTAAAGACTGAAAATTAAGTATTAAAAATTGAATGCTGAATTTTTTAAGTTGAAAAGTTGTTTAATAAAAATTTAAGTACTGAATTAAAAATAAGTTATTTAATATGTATAAGATAAAATTTGAAATTTAGTAGATTTAAATTGTATATTTTAATTTTTATATAATGATGATAGTAGTGGTGGTAGTGGTGGTGGAGGAATGGCACAGTGGTGGCGGTGGCATGGTGGTGGTGGCAGTGATGATAGTAGTAATAAAATGATGGTGATGTTCATGGCAATAATGACAATTGTAATGGTAGTAATGGTGGTGGCGACGGCATGATGGTAGTGGTAGGGGTGGCATAGTGGTGGTGGTAGTGATAGCAGCAATGATGGTGACATGATGGTAGTGGTAATGATAGCGATAGTGATGGCGGTGGCGGTGGCGGTGGTGGTGGCGCGGTGGTAGTGGTGGCGGTGGCATGCTAGTTGTGGTGGTGGTCGTGATTGTGGTAGTAGCAGTGGTAGCAGTGGTGATACTGAGTTTATAATGGTACATATCGGTATTTATGTTTAAAATTTATAAACTCAGTTAGAATTAAGTTTTATGTGACTTAATTTTCTTAAGCTTTAACCTACATTTTAAGAGGTACTTAATTTTGTAAGTGATATCAATTACGATTATCAAACGAACTTAATTGATTATCACTTAATCAATTCAGTTTTAAGTGTTGAATCATGTTATCAAACAATAATATGATGGTAGTGCTTATAACAACAATAACAATGGTGATAAAGGTGGCGGTGTTAGTGGTGGTGGCGGCGGCAACAGTAGTAGTGGTGGCGGTGGCATGATGGTAGTGATTGTGGTAGTGGCAGCGGTGGTGATAAATTTATAATAGTGTATATTGATACTTAGGCCTAGTTTGGGAAGATTGAAAAAAGACAAAAAGTCAAAAAGTCACTATCCTATTTAAGTCACATCATCTTATTTAAGTCACATCACCTCTCTAATACATCACTTCAAACCCAACCCAAACACAACCCATATTTCATAAAAAGTCAAAAAGTGCACTTATTTAGTCTTCCCAAACTAGGCCTTATATTTAGTAATATAAATTTAGTCAAAATTAAATAAGTTTTATATGATTTTAAAAAAAAAATTAAGTTTTAACTTACATTTTAAGAGATGGTTAAATTTTTCAATAATAGTAATTATGGTTATCAAATGAGTTTAATTAATTATTATTTAATCAATAATTGTAAGTGTCAAATTATATTAAGAATAATGTTTTAGAGCACTAAATTGGGAGCTCTAGAGCATCACTAATGATGTGGCACAGTGACCCCCACTTAGGAAATAAAAAATAATATATTTACAAAAAGAAAAATTAATAATAAATATTATAAATATTAATAATTTTAATTATAAAAAAAATTATCCTTTTTGTAAATATTTCATTTATTCCCCACTAATATATAATTTCCCCTAAATAAATATGTTAGTAACACAACTAAATCACATAATAAGGCCAAGTTTGGGAAGACTAAATAAGTGCACTTTTTGACTTTTTATGAAATATGGGTGGATTTGGGTTGGGTTTGAAGTGATGTGTTAGAGAGGTGATGTGACTTAAATGAGATGATGTGAATAATTTTAATTATAAAAAAAATTATCCTTTTTGTAAATATTTCATTTATTCCCCACTAATATATAATTTCCCCTAAATAAATATGTTAGTAACACAACTAAATCACATAATAAATAATGATCTTTACACTTTCTTCTGGCGTTAGTTTAAATCCAAACTTCCAAGAAATTTGATGGGTTTGTAAGACTTGTTACATGTCTCGTTTTGATAATTTAAATAATTTATTTTGTAAAATTATCTATGTGTATCATTCATAATAAAAATTATATAGATCTAATAATTGTAATTTTTTTATTTTAATATATTTGTCTCAAAAAAAAAATAGATGGTTTGGTCTATTTTTTAAAATATTTTGTCTATTTTCTAAGAAAAACAAACACAATAAAATGAAAATATTATGATTATCGAATCGACGTAATATTTTTATAGATGATATACACTTAACGTCACGATTCGAATAACCAAAACAAAACTCGTGATACATCTCACAAGTCTATCAAATTCTTTCCTATTCATATTTGAACTAAAGAAAAATCTAAACTTTGCTCTATATATATATAGCTCAAATACCCTGCACCAGGGGCACCACAACTAGCAAAGACAGTGAAGGAGTTGTTGACAAAGTCTGGATTTGAGAATGTTCGTGAAGATGGAGCTCGTGGGCTTGATCATGGTGCTTGGTTCCCACTAATGCTTATGTATCCAGAGGCAGACATCCCTGTGTGCCAAATGTCAGTGCAGTCAGGCAAAGATGGGACTCATCACTACAACATTGGCAAGGCTCTCTCTCCTCTAAGGTCACAAGGGGTACTCATAATTGGATCAGGTGGAGCTACAAATAATGTGCCACCCAATTCTCCTCCCATCCATGGACCTGTTTTGTCTTGGGCTCTTGAGTTTGATTCATGGCTCAAGGATTCTCTTCTCAGTGGAAGGTAACTAATTGCAACTTTCAAAATCAACAGTGTTATTTACACACAATTAGAATACAGAAAAAGTACATTGTTATTGTCTAGTTTTTAGAATGCTAGGTACCTAGAAAAAGTATTGAAGGGCTGAAATTCATTTCAAGTGTGAGCTTCATTATAAGGAGTTCATAGTGAAATTATGGACACTTTTTTAGTTTCCTAGAGTTTCTATAGATTTATTTTAAACATGGGTTACATAACTCAAGGTGAGTACATATTACAATTCTTATGCATTTTATGTGTTTTCCTTGGGTTCAACTATCATTTCACCTTCTAAAATTGTTTATAATGATTTTAAACAAGATTTTATATATCAATTTATACATATAGCATTTTTTGACATTTTGATACTGATACATACCAGTGAGATGAAAATCAGAAGTGTATCAATTAGTTATAATGTATTGGTTCATAACCAAATCACAATTGATATGTTCAGTTCATAAAAAATTTTATGTTGAATGACCAATTAATAATATGAAATTGATATGAATAATCCATTTAATAGTACGACTAATAGTATGACTAGTTACATGTTTTAAAGTAATACCTTATATATAATTCAATCCAACTAAATAAATACTACGAAACTAGAATTTGGGAGTCACTTTAATCTTTTTATTTTTCATTTGAGATATATTTTTAAAAAAATGTTTATGATTTTGGAGTTAATAAATAGTAAGATTTAGTTTCGGAGATTTAAAAAAATAATATTTTGTTGACATTGAACATTTCTGTGAACAATTCATGAAAAAAAAAAAAAACCAACAACAACAACTTTAATATCTGCATACAATTTGTATTTTTAACTGAAGGTGAAAATTTGAAAAGAATCCATCATTGCATTGAGAATTACTCTATTACTATGTGGAATGAAATGTCTATTTCTTAACTTTCCTACAAAATTATCATTCACTTGACAATATATTTTTATTATTTTTTAGTGAATCAAACGAAAGAATAAACATTTTAATATAATTATATTTTCATTCGACTACTTATAAATTTTAGATATACAGGCATGAAGACATAATTGATTATGAGAAGAAGGCACCCCACGCAAAGATGGCACATCCCGAACCAGACCACATGTACCCTTTGCTTGTGGCACTTGGATCTGCTGGAAATGGTGCAAGGGCTGAGCTTATTCATCAGAGTTGGGGACGTGGTTGCCTTTCTTTTGCCTCCTATCGATTTTCAAACAATTTGTGAATTGTGAAGCTATTTATTTAGGGGGTTGATAAATCGGTCAAAGCATAATAAGTACAAGGCAAAGTTGCATTACGTGTCAATAAGACTCCATAGTTGATATGAAAGTGCCTTATCTATCAGGTCAATCCCTTAATCTTTAATGACAATAAGAATTAATAAAAGCGCTTCATCATTTCCACTATTTCATGTAATTTTAATGTCATACAAACAAAGTTGTTACATTGTATTTTCATACACAGTGATATGGTTTTCATAATTCTTTTATTTCAAATCAAAATATTTGTGGTTTGCACTTTTTAATAATATTAACATCACTTCTTATATGAATATTTATAATTAGTTTCTTATTTATAAATAATAATTAAAAAAATAATAAAATCAACAGTGTGTTTGATTTCAATTTTCCGAATTCAGTTTTCTGAAAACTGAGTTTTTTGTTTTTCGTATTTTTATTTTTGTTTTTAGTGAATATTTTTTAAATTTTAAGTAATTTTTTACTTTTTTAAATGCGCCTTACTTAGATGTATCTAAATAGCAAAATATTTGTGAAAAAATATTTTAAAAAATACACAAAATACAAAAAATGTGCTAAATTTTCATGTTTTTTTTTTTGTATTTTTTGATATTTAGTGTAATTTTTAAAGATTTTTACACAAATAATATACTATTTAAGTGTATTTATGTTAAGTGTGTCTAAAAATTTTTAAAAAAAAATTGCTTAAAATATTATAAAAATTCATTGAAAACATTAAAATACAAAAAATGAAAAAGTAAAATTTTTTGAAAACTAGAACCAAACAATATCTTACCAAGTATCCGATAATATAAAACGGTGGTAAAAACCACTTATATATAGCGATACTCTGTGTATATTCCATTTTCCTCATAGTTTCATGATAATAAGGGTAAGTTACACTTTTTCAACATTCCACTTTTACCTTAATTTCATTTAGCTGTTTCAATGTCTGTAAGTTTTTGTATGTGAAAACCCAATGTTCTACTTTTATATATATGAAGCTCTTATCCATAAAAATAAATAAATAAAATGTACAAGAAGAAAGAAAAAACAAGCCTAATGCTTAAAATACTCTCACAACTCAAGAGCTAAGCCAAAACAACAAACAACATGCAAACGACTATTATTTCATAGAAAGCATACGGTTAGATTTTTTCTTACACTGATTTTCAATTCTCTCAATGATTTTCTTCTTGTTCTCGCCTTTTGAAGACGAGATTGACCGTGGAACAACGAACGTTCGATCTATAAGCTTCGGTGGAGCCCCTTTAAGACATGAAGATTGACGAAGATCTAACCCATTTTAATTACCCCCATCTCCTTCTATTCCTCTCTCTCCGTTTGAAACCTCCTTATTTTGGATTGCACCCATCTTGCCTTGACTTACTTTGAGAGGGATTCCGATATACAAGATGCAAGCACGTCATTTGATGAAGATGAAGGTACACCAGGAACAACATTAACAACATGAGTAGCACCTTCACCCATCTTTTTTTTCAACCTCTTCATGCTCATTTGTATTAGCTCCTCCTTGGTTTTTAGGTTTCCATTCTTGCTTGGCATTACGGGGAACTTGGAACTTAGGCATTGTATTGGGTATGTTCTTGTAGAATACCCAAAAATTTTACAAACCTCACGAGATTGGGATTTCCAAGGGACTTCGACATGAATATCACAAGGCACCCCATAGCCAAGATCAACCTTGAAAAGCTAGAGATCACCTTGTTAGCTTTAATTTCCACACACACACTAGCAAAGTGAGTTTACTCTTAGAGTGGGTATATTCATCAAGGTACAAAGTGGTACCCATCACACTAGCAACATACCAACAAACCTTCATTTGTCCACAATTCAAGAGACACATTAAACAATTTCACCCAAATCGAGACACTATAAAACAATTATGGAACCGAGTCCCTATTGTGCACTCAACACAACAAGCACTGTTGTGCAGCTAAATAGGTTCATTTCGAGATCCGTTTTGATAATTCGAACATTCGCATTTTAAAATATATCGAGTAAAACATACCTGCAAAAAATCAAATTAATCGTGTATTATAAACCGTTTCATCTACTCAAATTTTTATTTATTTTTATATTTCAAATCATAATTGTCATATATTTTTGTTGATACAAATGCTATTCGATGAAATGGTTTATATCCAATCAATTTGATTTTTTACAGATATATTCTACTCAATATACTTTAAAATATGAACAGTTCGGATAATCAAAATGGATCTCGAAATGAGCCCATTTGAGTGCACAACATTACCTATTGTGCTGAGTGCACAGGAACCCCATCGAGAAATCCTCTATGGATAATTTAATTCTCAAAAACCACATTTTGAGGATGATTAATTGGTTTCCGCAATAATGACCTTCTCAACTCTTCATCACTATTAAATTGAAATATGAAAAAACCATTTGTCAACATTTTTCAACTTATTCTTCCAAGTCTGCTCAGACAAAAGTTTCATACAATAAGGATGCATTTTTTATCCAAATAAATAAATAAAGCATGATCCCATTGTGCGACACGGGGTTTAGAAATTTTGAGGTGAATCTAGTGTTATTTCTCTCCAATTGCACATCAAAAGGTGTAATTCTAGCGATAACATCAATTTTAGCATCTTTGGTGTCCTTTTTTGCACTAAGTTGAGCCAATGAGTATTTGTGAAAATTTACCTTCACCTTGATTGCCAACAATCTCAACTCTTGTTTTTACATATCCAACCACATCCTCAAGTTCTTCACCTGCTATGCCCTTGTGAACATCACTCTCTATCTCCAAGCTCAATTGCATATTCATTTGCAGAGTCCTAGGACTCACATACGCTGCCATTGGCCATGTCCAGCACCCATCGGCTGTTTGTAACTTAGTCGGTTTCCATGCCACATTCAACTTCCAGGCCTATAACTACCCGCCATTGCATGAAGAGCTGGAGTACCATAGTGTTCTTCCTCGAACTCACAATCTTTGACTTCAATCTCGTACTCAAGCTGCCTATTCAAGAAATCAATATTGCTTTACTTGGTTACAACCCAAAGGGTCCAATTGATCTTTAACTAAACTATAATGAAACTTTTCGAGAGAGAGCTTAAAAGAAGTCCCCCTCTTGCTTTTTAATTTTTTTTTCCCCCATTATTGGCTCAACCAAAGCTAGATCAGTATTTCAGATTCCACTTCCAACAATGAATTACTTCCAAAAAGCCAAACAAACAGCAGAGAAATTCATATTTGAAGCACGTAGAGGAATCAAACCAGTTCCAATAGCGTGCAAAGATTTCTGAAGATCGTTGGGTTTTAGATCTTTTGTCCCCTTCTATCCATTCCCGCCCTAACAATCTCGATGTTTTTGCACTTCAATTCTTTGGCAAGAGAGAGAACTTGAACCCATGAATGTCCTTTCAATCCTCGACATTGCCATTGAATGTGACAATTCCGGGCTTAAACACTCCAGCACGGGACCGCACCAACACTCATCCTCCCAAAAACCCTAGGAAAAACACCGTTCTCTTGCAGAAAACTATGATTGTTGGGCTTCTAACTACAAGTTACTAGACTATAATTGTCAAATTAATATAATTTTTTTCATATTTGTAACTAATAATCTCCTACTAAAAGTTTATTTAAAAAAAATAAAAAATAAAAACCCCACTTGAAACATAGAAGTAGCTTTATCATTGATAGTAGGTAGACAATGATGATTCACAAGGTCATATTTAATAGGCAAATGGGCAACATTATGTCTTGGTTAAATTACACTAATCTCTTTTAAAGTTTGACGAAAATATAATGAGTCTCACAAATTTAGTATAATTATATTGGACTCTCATAAGCTTTAATTCACATAAAATTTGATCCCTTTTTATCAATAATATCTACATAGAAAAATTATGTTATCATCTTTTTTATATTAAAATGTATTTAACCTTATTTGTCTTTGTATCTTCATACTATTTGTATGAATTTCAATTTATTTAGCCTTACTAAAAGAGAGGTCGATACAATTATACCAAAACTGTGAAACCTTTTGTATTTTTTTTAAATCTCAAAAAAGATCAATGTAATTTACACTTATTTTTAATAAGAAAATGTTCAAAACCAAAAGGAGCGGGCATGACCTTGGCTCTAATACCATACTATACGCGAGGCCTAGCCCCCATCTAGAAGTATTGTCCGGTATTGCCCAGCCCAAAAGCCGACCTCACCAGATTGTCCCTCTGAGCTCCAATCCAAAAGGCCCACCCAATGAAAGTGTCATGTGCCATCTTATAAATCCATCTTAGACATATTCACAACTGATGTAGGATGATGCCAACACCGACTTTGGATTGTGCTGCTTGCGGAGATTCTAAGTCATTCCTCATTTTTCACTTTCTAAGATTATTATTCGTTCTGATTTGATCAAATATTAAGAACAATCTTTCACCATGCTTAACCTTTCTATTAAAATTACACAACTCAGTCCAACAATGGATGTCAAAAATGTTAAATTAGCCTGCAGTAGAAATACAATCAGTCTTTCATTGCACACAAATGTAAGTTTGATAGGATACGTCTTTTTTTTTTTTTTTTTAGGTCTCCCACGGTATCCCCAGGTTTTTTTGGACCCAGGACTTATCCGCCGAGGAAGCTGCCAGACGCATATGAGGGGTCCTCTCCCAAGGGGGTGTGATGCATCCACAAAGGCTTGAACTTGAGACCTTTACTCAAGCGACCCAAGTCCCTTTCCACATGGACCAACCCCCATTGGTGATAGGATATGTTCAATATGATACACAGAACAGCAAATAAAACAAATCAAGTCAAGAAGTTTGGGAGATAAGAAAGTGGTGGAGGCTGCATTTGAGAATGAAAATAAGATATAGATGCAAAGATATTACCACATATTTTCTAACTAAAGCTGTTACCGACAAATTCTCCACTCACATCCCAAGGGCGATGTTCAAATGATTTCCCAATGATACTGCGTTTGTCATTTACAGTCCCATCCTCGCACTGGTACTCTGGAAAGTAATCCAAAAATGTTTTGCTTCCTAATTCATCAACTCCATTGAAGAGGAAGTTCTTCACCAAGTCCTGCAAAGTAGAAACATAGAAAACTGAAACAGGAATAGGCATAAGTAAAATGCGGGGTGCTAAATTAAGAATGGTACCTTTGAATGAGCCTCCCCAATCAACTTTTTCAGAACTCGATGACCTGGATCCTGGTTTCAAAATATTTGCATCAGGGAAATAAATCTAGGAAAAATATTACTAGAATGGTCCACTACACAACAAAAAGTAGTAGTAAAATTTCTGCTATGCTTTGATCTTGGATTTGTTGAGACACACACACACACACACACACACACAGAACTTTAAAGAAAACCAAACATAACCTTCTACAATTCTATTTCTAGGAAGCGTCTCCAAGTTCTCTTCTATCATCATGATTTCTTAAATCCTAAGCAACAATGGTTAAGAGAGATAGCCAGCAGTAGCAACAGATTTGCAATTGGGAATTGTTAAGCATTAAATATTTTAAAAGATTTAGCCAACAGTTCTTAGAAACACTTTAGAAAAATCAATGTAACTTCAAATGGGTAAGATCTACACACACACACACACACGCACGCAAACAAAAAAAAAAATTTGATGGTACCCTTCTACAATGACATAGACAAAAAAAAAAGTTGGAATTATATGGTGGAGGAAAAAAGAACTAGTAAGAAAAATAGAATTTGGAACATAATCCAAGAATCTGTCTTGTGCCGCTAAGCTAGACCACAACAAATGCACATTCACCACAACTCTGCCAGCTGTACGAAGTGCTTCCCCCATTAAAGCATTGAAACTGATCACATTCTTCCTTATTTGTTTGAATTACAGTAGAGAAAATTAGTATCCTCTTTGAAGGATTGTTAGATCAAGCGTACAAAATTATACTACGTATCACAATTTAGTGATTCAGATCATTAACTCAACCGAATTCCTTACATTTTAACATTAGAGCAAATAGGGGTCATCAATGGGACGGGCCAGGCATACCCAGCCAGCAACTATTGTGCTTAAATCCCATATTTTAACGGATTTTTTGGACTTTGACCAGTCAACGGGTTAGTACAGGACAGGCCTATTTAAAAAACTAAAACCATATTCTACCCATAAGCCCAAATCTTACGGGACAAAATCAAACCGAACCGGGCTACATATTTTTCATTACAATGATATTATCAAGTTCTACACATTTTTCATTAACACATTTTTAATATTTTTATTAATTTATATGTACTATTTGGGCATTGTTTTTTACTTTCCAACATAATTCAAGTATATTGATTTTTTTTTTTTTTTGATAATTCTATTTGCACACCATATACACTCTCAGTACACACCACTAATGGTGTTCGCATATAAATTTCCGAACAAAAGTCAATTGTTTGGATATAAATTTATGAAAATAAAGTAGTTGTTCAGATATAAATAATTGAACGGAATGTATATTTGAACAAGTTATTTTTGTTCATAACTTTAAATCCGAACATTTGATATTTGTTCAGAAATTTATATCCGAACACATATGTAGTGTGTTCTCCCTTTTTTTTAACCTTTTTTCAGCTCATATAATCAAAAAACAATCAAGTAACATATCCATGCGGGCTCTTACAGGCCAGGTTTATGGGCCGGCTCAAGTTACAAACATTTGTCCAAAGCCAAAAATCATTTATTATGGGTTGGAACGGACTGGGCACTCAAGCGGGCTAGGACGGATCATGAGATGTGTGGGATGGGTTGGGTAATATTAGATTTTTTGTCCGCGGGCCATTTGGGGACCCCTAAGGACACATCAGTGGATCCAAATGCTTCTTCGAAGCAGAACACTTCTTGTTTACAGACCATCAACAAAGAAAAACCAAACTTGTACACACATGCTAAATCCTATCCATATGAAGTGGTCAAAATGCTTAGATGCTAATGATCAGATAAGCTCTCAAATCTGGACAACAAAAATCAAAATTGTTTCCTTCGTGATTTTTCTTGATTAAATTAGCAGAAAATTTCACATTGCAATCAAGTATAATGATCTGAAACTCATAGTCAACTTATCTGGATGCCACAAAGACATTGCCCTATAAGTTCTTGATTTTATCAAATTTTTCCATTATCGATTTATTTTATTGTCACAAAAAATATTTCCTCAGAGATTCTTGATTTTAACAATTTTTTCCACTAATTCACCTCACCCAATAACACATGCAACAATCCAAAGAAAATTTGTAATTAGCCCTTTACTATCGATGATTAGTTGAGTTAGGGACTGGGAGATGGATGGTTATTGGTTTGTTTTGGCTGCCCCTTGTCTTCATGTGATCTATCCTAGCTGGTCTTTAAGCCACTCCTGACATGGAGTGTTGAGGACACTGCCATGGGGTTTGAGACTTTGTGATCAGAGTAGGATGGGACTGGGGGATGTGGTGATTGCTCTCATGATGGTGGTAGGCTTGACTGTGTGTGCTACTAGTGGCTGTTGGTGTTCTGCTATACTTCTCTGAGACTGTTATTGTTGTTAATTGACCGTGCGAGCTTCATGTGATTTATCGGGATCTGTCAAGGGGTATATCTTTTACACTATCATGGCTTTTGTGAGTGGTTAAGGATGTCACGGCTATGAAGTGCGAGGTGCTTATTGGACTCTATGTTCGATCTATGGTAAAGATTGGGAGCTTGTGGGGGAGATTAGCATGGTTGATTGGTTTTGGTGGACGTTTTAGCATGTTTAATCCTGTTTGATTTGCATGTTTCAGCGGTTTCACGCAGTTTATGTGGTCTCATTTTGTATACTTGCCCATATATCTTCCCCAAGTTTCCATCTATTATCTTTGATGGTAGGGGTTACTTGGGGATATATAAAGATATATGGGCAGTTTTGAGTTTTATTATGCGTTCTATTGTTGGGTACCCTGCAGATGCGGGGGTTGTCATATTTAGGTATTTCGGTTATTATCTGTATCAGTTGGCCCCTCTTCTTTGGGGAGCATTGTGAGATTTATTGTATTACCTGAGATATGCCCCTTGTAAACATGTACATTTTTCGTCTTTAATTTATGACAAAAAAAAAAAAAAAAAACAACAACAACACGATGTGCAAAATGTAATAAATGCTGAGGAAGAACATTAAGTACCCACCTTCTCCGCTCTCCAGGTTAGATACCTATGTTGTGCTTCACAATTGCATATAATTTCAGAAGCACTGGTCTCCTCCGAAGCTTGTTCCATCAGGTCAAGCCATGCCTGCAAGTGCAACATAATAAGCGGATGTACAAAGTTTGGAATTCTTCATTCACTCACACATCTTCCCCCTCCTTTTGACCAACTTCCTCTCAAAATACGATCCAAAATATAAATGAACACACCCCATCAGTTGTCAGATCTTCAAATGATATTAAAAACAAATTGCATAAATATCTTATTTGTGTACCTTGTAGTAATCCATGAATGCAGAATATAAGACATTATGGTTGTATTGGCTTGGGCAAAACTTGGTCCATATTACAATTGGTGAGAAAAATCTCAGTGACTCACTTGTAATCTTTCCTCCCCAAGGTAAAAGCTGCACGAAATCTGTGTTTAGATCACCAGATCATAACATTTAGACAGGGTTCAAGAATAACTTTAATGATCCACAAAATTGGAATGCAACCAATGTAGTGGTAGTAGCATTTTGCTTTGTTAGAATTTATCTCCACCTACCACCTCCACTATCACACACTCCACCTACCACCTCCACTTCACTCCTACACCTACTACCACATTTTCTTCTATATATAGGAATTGTAAATATAGCAACAAATCAATCAATATCAATCAATAATACACATAACAAGCTCTCCGAGCGTTCAGAGGTTTCAGACTCGTATGCACAGCCTTCGCCTCAACCTTGTTTTACAACCTCACCTTAGCCGTCCGCCGGACCTCCACCTATTCCGCTTATTTTCTACACATACCAGTGCACAAAAGCCCTCTTCGCATCAAAGAGAGGTTATGGCATACAACAGGCTGCCGAGCAGCGGCCATAAACAGCCCGTCGTCGCCGCTGCGCTCGCCGAGGCTCCAGCACAGCCGGTCGAAGGGAGGGCGGTTCTCTCCGGCGCAACCCCCCCAGAACTGTCGCCCTGCGTCTCGCCGGTCTACTCCTCTCCGTCCTCCTCCGCAGACAAGGCATCTTCCTCTTCGCTCCGCTTCTTTACATCTCCGGCATGCTCTTCTACATGGGAACACCTCCATCGCCGTTTCATCATCATCAGCAGAACCTCCAGATCTCCACCACCTCCGCCGGACCTCTACACAAGAGGAAATCAAGACCATGGCCTCTACTTCTGCAATTTTGGCAGCAACGCCACTAACTTCAGCCACCCAAACGAGGTTTCCGAGCTCCGCCGCCTTCTTTAAGCCACTGCCGGTGAGGCCTTCCAAGGCAGCGGTGGTTGGATCAAACACAACCATTGGTAAGTTTGAAGTCAAGGCTTCCATGAAAGAGAAAGTGGTGACGGGATTTTCCAGCCTTGAGCATGGGCTTTTCAGTACGTCCTCCTCCGGCAACCGGGCCACACAAACCCCCTGAAACCCATTTGACTGCAGTTTGCTTCAGAGAGAGTGGGATTCTCTCACTTTTCTTTGAGAGTAAATGCTCCATCCACGATATGTCTACCTTTCCAACCCATCCCTCCAACACCTTTTGCACATTCATTCCCCTTTTTTATTTTTTATTTTTAACCCAAAACATGCTCATCTGCAAACCCAACACTCAATCTCTTTCTCTCTCATATTTTATTAATCTCTCAGACATCATTCTCTCACATTTAGTCGGGCACACACACCCACGTGGGTTGGTTCTCATAAATCTGAAATTTGATAGCATGCCATCATCCACTAACTTTTTTTTTTAATACAGTGTCCTCTACATGGTTATGACACCCCCATACAGTGTCCTCTACAACGTTATGACACCACCATACAGTGTCTTCACAACGGTCTGACACGGCCATACAGTGTCTCCTATCTTTTTTTTTTATTTTTATGTATTTTCTTGTTTTGTTCCTCTCTCCAAACTCAAGTTGGTTAGTTTCTATCCTCCTTGAGTTTGCGGGGGGCTGTTAGAATTTATCTCCACCTACCACCTCCACTATCACACACTCCACCTACCACCTCCACTTCACTCCTACACCTACTACCACATTTTCTTCTATATATAGGAATTGTACATATAGCACCAAATCAATCAGATATCAATCAATAATACATTGAATTTTAACATGCTTACCTCAGCATACTTGAGGCCAAGAGGCATCAAGCTCTTATAGTACTTCTCCTTGTAATCCTTTCGACTAATAACATCATGCAAGGGGTTAAGGTCCCTATAAACAGCCAATCAAAGCTTAGTTTGAGATCTTCGAGATCAGTATAATATTCACTAACCAAATTGGATCCAAATTACATAAACAATTATGCATCTAATTTTGGCAAAAACGAAAGGCATGTAAAATTTCTACATGCAGTATCATATTGGAGTAATGTCCATATGCTTATGCTTGTATGGAAGCAGTAAGTGGCAGCTGGATAAAAATCTTTTCAGATATGGTGTAAACTAAACCTAAGTTGATTAGAATGAAATTTTCCTTTCATGTCAATTTTAATCCATGGCTTGGTTATAAGTCATTTACTTGAGTATTTGTATTAAAAATTTAATCTAGTATATTTTCCGTGGTTTTTTACCCTAGGATTTTTTTTTTTCCCCCTATGGTTTTCCATGTATATCATTGTGTCCATGGTTGTAGAAATTTATGATTCATATGATTCGATACGAGTTTCAAGAAAAACAATTCGATTTGTGCAGTTGAATCTTAAATTGGGTGAATCTTACGATTCACTATGTATTTATCAAAAAAAAAAAAAAAATCTTATGATTCACTGTGATTCAAGCAATTCAATTCTATTTGCATATTACATGAAAGGACATCATTTTCATAAGATAAAAAAGAGAGAAGCCTTCTCTATCTTCTCAGTAAAGCGCTAACGGCTTTAGAAAGATCGCTCGTTAGCTTAGTTTTATTTGTATATACATAGATAAATTTAGTTATATTGATATTTATTTCATTTTAAACATTATATGTGTATTTTTATATGTATATACATATATAAATTATGTAGGGCACTCAGGCGAAAAGTCCAAAACTACATTTTCTTTGGCCAAAGCTTCAGGCACAAAAATAGTTTGTCCATCAGGACAAACTGAATCAAAATGACCAAAATACCCATCTATATATACCAATCAAACCCTACTTCTCTCAAATGAAATCATTCACGTCTCTCTCTCTTTCTTCCCGATCTAAACCTGTGGTAGCCGAATAAAAGCAGACGCAGATAGGCAGTGTATATTGTCCCAATCGTTGTATAGTATGCACTCGGCCCGGCCCCTAACGTTTCAGATGCCGAATAAGTTAAGCAGGGGGCCGATTAAAAGTTAGAATACGGCATAATGAGAGGGGGGGGGGCAGAGTGCATAGGTACATGACAGATCAAGAGCGGGCCCTGCCTAGAAGACTAGGAGCATATATAAATAGAAGAACGACGAACAAGAAGAGGTATGTGAGAATTAGTACGCTTAACTTAAGATACACGCAATCAAGAGAGCATACACTGACTTATCCGTCGGAGTGCTAATTCCGGCACCCCCGACCGGAGTGTTCATTCTTTTCCAGGCTACCAGCTGAGGTCTCGAGCGTCCCATTGGATCCAAAGAGTATTTCCAAACTACCTTCCCCACAAAACCCTAAGTGCACCATTTCCGCCACAGCCGCCTCCGCCCCTCCGTCCACTTCCTCGGCCGTCACTGCCTCCTCTCCGCCACCAGCACCCTACCGTCGCCGCCCACCGTCGTGTCTCCATTGCCTCCCTCTTTATTTCTCGCTCTAAAAAAATATAGAGAGAAACAAAATACACTGCTCCGATCACTGGGCTCACTTTTATACGCACAATTTCAATTCTCATCATCTACACATAGATATACATATACATCTACACAGAGATATACATATACATATACATATATATGTAGAGAGAGAGCGGTATCTGACAATGTCCTCATCTCCGAGAGCATCTCCGACTTAGACATCACCACCAACTACCAATACCACTTCACCACCACTAGCCACCGCAATGCCTCCGCTGGCAACAAACACTACATCGCCACCACCATCTTCTCCACCACCAACTCCTGTTGCTCTGGTCCTGTTTCACAGCCCACCGCCATGTCACGATCGTTGTCGCCGTCAATCCCCTCAGATCTGAGATCATCGCCTTAGATCGCCATTGTCCAGGGCCATCGGTCATTGGTCACCGAATCTAAATTGAAAAGCCCAACCCACACTTCTCCTTAAAACCCAAGTATTAGGGAGAGGAATACTGGAGCCTTATAACTAGCACAGATGGAGCAACTCCAGGCGATGTGAGACACATTCCAACACACCCTCCTGGACCACAACATACACCAGCCGGCAAGGTTCTGAAAAGCGGTTGCGATCGCCATAACGGTGGCGGTGGTGCGGTTGCGGTTGTGGGGTGTAAAGGCCGTAGCGTAACAGTTGTAATAACCGGAAACGTGATTTTTTTTATTTTTCGCACAATTTGAAAAAAACTTACCAATACGCATATTTTTTTTCCATGATCATATTTATTGGGTTTAAAATAAATATTGATCAATTTTTATAAATTTTTAAGTATGATCCAATATATTTCATATTTTTAAATCGCTATAAACTGAGTTTTTTACATTTTATTTTAATAATTAATGATTTTATATTATACAAAAAATAATCATCAACTATTATATATAAGATAAACAATAACAAAAGTAAAAATAAATAAGAGCCTATATATATATATATACATATTTTAACCAAACCAAATAGATAACGACCACACTTATTATTATTATTATTATTATTATTTTCAAACAATATATAGATAGACACACACAAACAAACAAAATGGTTGAGTGATAGCAGCTGAATAGAATAGTATAGGTCTTACAGCTTCAACAAATCAACAACATGTTCTTCATCTTCCCTCTTCTCTCTCCATCTCTTGCTCCTCCATCTTCTCTCTTTATCTTCCCTCTTCTCTCTATCCCTCTTCTTTTATTTTCAACTTTTTTTTGTGTTTTTTCGAAAAAAGCAATTCAGAACCGTTACGTAGCGATGCATAACAGGCCGTTACGGCTGTTACGGCACCGTTATGACCGCTACGGCTGACACACCTGTAAATCTCAATCACACTGCAAAAGCAGCTGTAACGGGTGGTGGTAACCACTACAACCGTTACGTAACGGCGTTACGTAACGGTTGCGGCCGCTTTTTAAAACCTTGCCAGCTGGACAAACGACACACCAGTCACAGACCCAACCAAGCTCTGATACTAAATTGAAAAGCCCAACCCACACTTATCCTTAAAACCCAGGTATTAGGGAGAGGAAAACTAGACCCTTATAACTAGCACAGATTGAGCAACTTCAGGCGATGTGGAACACATTCCAACACACCCTCTTGGAATAGGACATACAGTAGCCGAACAAACAGCACACCAGTCACAGGCCCAACCAAGCTCTAATATCAAATTGAAAATCCCAACCTACACTTCTCCTTGAAACCAGTATTAAGGAGAGGAAAAGTGGAACCTTACAACTAGCACAGATAAGGCAACTCCAGGCGATGTGGGACACATTCCAACAGTCACAAGTGTCAGAGTCATATAGTTCTAATGCCATAACATTTCAAAAGAGGCCACGGTGGTTCGATGGATCTGGCGGCACGGCGGGATCAGGGAGGAGTCTTTGGTTCTGTCGTAGCTACTGTTGGCGATGGTGGTTGGAAGTGTTCCAGTGGATCTACTATTACGGAGGCTTTGACAGAGGAGATTCGTTGCCGATGTTCGACAATGGGGAAAAATCCCTTCACTTCTTCCACTTGTTTGATTTTTTAAATTTTTAGATTCTTTTTTTTTTTATTTTTTGATTTTTTTTTTTTTTTTTTTTTTGTGTGTATTTCTCAAATCTACTATATTCAGATTTATTCAATTTTTTTGTTGTTTTTGTAGATCTAAGTGTGTGTATATGTGTGTGTGTGTGTGTGTGTGTTTTGTTGTAGTTGCAGTTGTTGTTGTTGATGATGATGAAACAGATTGTTGTTGATGATGGTAATGATTGCAACATATAAAAAAAATCTGTGGTGCAATAGATGAAAAAAGATCTGTTCAAAATTTGAACAGATAGTGGCTCGATAGTGGATTGATGTATTTCTATAACAAAGATTTGAACAGATAAAAAATAACAAATAAAATTCATGAAAAGAGAAATTGAACAGATAAATAGAATTTAGAGAAAATTTTGAACAGATGGATATAATTTAGGGGGGGGAATTGAACAAATAAAAAAAATTGAACAAATAAAAAAAAAAATTGAACAGATAAATAGAATTTTGAAAAAAAAAATTGAACAGATAGATATAATTTAGGGGGGGGAAAATTGAACAAATAGACAAAATAATTTGAACAGATAGGCAAAAAATTTAAACAAATAGATATAAATTTGAACAGATAGTCAATGAAAAGTCAAACAGATAAAAAAAAGTCAAGGGGTAAAATTGAAAACAAAATATTCCCTAGGGCTTCTCACCAAACTATTTCACAAAACGTAGGCTTCTCATCAACAAAAAATATCTCTTGGACCTAATGCCTTATACCCTCCTTAAATTGGATTTATCACCAATTAACCCAATTATGTATTATGCTAAAGAAGATTTGATACGATTCACAATTCACTATTTTAGCAAACCAATTCACGATTTGACAACAATGGTTGTGTCTATTATCTTGCTCTCAATCTATTACTGTGGTATAGTGTGGATGGTGTATGCACGAATATGATATTGGAATTGGCAAACTAAATTGTTCTAAATAATCTATTTGGTATTTATTTAACTGGCTATTTAAATTAAGAGTTTGGCCTATTCACCCTCCCTCCAGGCACAAACAAGTCCACCTCACAATGATAAAAGCAGAAGCATGCAAGAAATAAAACTAGTTACATCACGAAGCCCACATCATCATCCGGTGCTACTATTAAACCCCATGAGAAGTATTATAAGATATTCTTGCATGGAGCAGCAGTCTATTATCTGGTCACCAACATACCATGCTTCAGAAATGTAAACTAGGTTTGCAAAATTAAAAGAAAGTGAAAAGGATAGCTTACAACACAACTATTCCTCACAATGATAAAAGCAGAAGCATGCAAGAAATAAAACTAGTTACATCACGAAGCCCACATCATCATCCAGTGCTACTATTAAACCCCATGAGAAGTATTATAAGATATTCTTGCATGGAGCAGCAGTCTATTATCTGGTTACCAACATACCATGCTCCAGAAATGTAAACTAGGTTTGCAAAATTAAAAGAAAGTGAAAAAGATAGCTTACAACACAACTATGTTCATGCTAGCAGTGCTGAAAAAATTGGCACAGAATATAGGTAGATCAAATTCTGGTTTTGGGAACACAGCAAGATCCAAAACCTGCATTTAGTTTATTTGAAACTGAATCAGGAAAGGGTAAAACATTCAGATTGTTATAATAAATCACAGAATCTCTAGGCGACAATAAATCACGAGGTCTTAACAGTATCAGCATCTCAAGGATTCTTATCCTAATTTTTTATTGTTGACACTAACTGCTTAACCAAGATCCAGATTGCACCAATTGAGATCATGCAAATCAAAAAATTCAAGCTTCTAGTGTTTCTTCCCCACCCACACCCCCGTTTTGTATTTATTCCACTTCTTACTCTTCTTTCCTCCTTGTTAAACCATAGTTATCAGCGATTATTCTCACAAATCCTGAAGACATCTCGAGCAATACTTATTTACATTTCTAACTAGTACAAATTCATTTACCAAACTCATTGGAAAAGAGACATTGCAGTATTTTGCAAGCACTAAATTATATTATGCTGTAGCTCAAGAGACTCCCACAGGTAGACTTCAGATATTTTTTTCTTTTAAAAAAAAAATGGAGGAGAATAAGAAAAATGGAGACGCTAAGAAATATAAGCAAGGGAAAGAATCAGAAAACTGCAGTTCTCAAAGGAAAAATGTCAATACCTTCCAACAACAGATTTGGCATTTGAAATATAAGCAAGGGTCACTTTCAATTATCAGAGACACTAAGAAATAAAGGTAGTTCACATCCCATACCAAAATACAAAAAAGGAAAATTCACTCCCTGTGAAGATCCATAATTACTCCCCCATCATATGATGTTCAATTTAGTTCATCTCACCAAATTAAATTGTCAGCATTAATGGCAATACAGATGGCAGTTGTCATCAACCCACAAGAAAGGAATACAAAATTTATAGCAATATCATTTAGTACCCAAAAAAAATTATAATTACAGTATTTTGAATGCTAGGCTATGGCTATGACAATGCGAGAGTGAAAGATAGTGGTCATAGACTAGTGATCTTGACAATGGGTTGACAGGTCGGAATGTCAAGTGTAAGATGTGCAAGTGCAACATGGTAGGGCACAGCTATCCAAAAGCTAGTGTTAAGGTAGATGAAGTGAATTGTGCCAGAGGACAACACCTGCATTGTTTCATTCCCTTCGACACACAAACTACGTAGGAGTCTGATCTTGGGAGCTTGGAAAGATAAAATCTTAAGCTCTGTTTTTCCATCCATTGGAATCGAGGAACTGAAATTATCCTGATAATGTAACAATTTAGATACTCATTAATAGCAGGTATTGAGGAGAGAGGGGTTTGTACAGAATTCACAAGTCACAGCAATAGCAAATTGCAAATTATGCCATAGATCATACTTCAATAACATATCCACAAAATTACACATTTCAGTTGATTAAATATAAATCTAAATAATGCTAAAAAAACAATATTAAGTCTAAAAGGAAAGTTCATTAGGAATATCAAGTACTTTTATTCAATTACAATTTACAACAAAAATTTAATCACTAAAACAATTGAATTAGATGGAAACATGCATCTGCACCTGCATCAGCGCAAGCACTTTCTTATGAGTTATATTTTACACTTGAGTACTTTGACAAAACAAACATCATATAGTTAGTAGAAACGACTAACATAAAACACAATATGTTAATGCTTGTACAAAAAGCTAACCTGGCAAGAACAGGGAACAAAGTTCTGTGATTCCACTCAAAATTCAAATACAACGCCGTGCATTTGAGTGAATAGAACCCGTGTAGAATGGGGAACTCTCTGTAAATTAGACTTAACTCGTAACAACTCTACGTTCAAAAGAAAGATGCCCTCATTCGAATGAATGTTACAGAACATTGTTACAATCTAATGCAAGAAGTTGTGTCCAAATGAACTTAGCCACGTGTTGGAACAAGCAAGCTTTTGAAGCTACGTTCGTTTCAACCAACTCACAATGATCACAAACCAAAATCTGTGAATCCTGAAGTCGATGCCATAAGTTAATTTAGCCTATAGTCCAAAACTAACATGAACCCAATAATAAACAAGCTCAACTATACTAGAAAGGATAAAAACAACCTAGTACATGATATGACTTCAATGCATTGGCGTTTTACCTTTCAATCAAAATGTGCTATGGAATTTGTTCAATGTGACTCAACTAAGCTTACCAAAAACACTCAATAATTTGGAAAAAATTGTCAGCACAAAATGACATGGAAGTACATCTTTCCTCAAGGGTAAATAGGACAATTGGCTTCAAAGTCCTTAACTAAAAACCGAATTCATGCTTTTAATATGTTAGCCGCATAAAATATTAGTATTTAACCAAAATTTGTGAATTATCAACCCCGTGTGCATTTGCCGTTGGACAATGGGTCAGATGCTTGATCCAACCTACTTAGTTTAGAGGGGGCCAAAGTTTGACTTTAGTAAACTAATAAAATAAAGATTGCACATAGGCCCTCTGGATGAACCATACCTTGTTGTGTCTTGGAAAAAGAAAGGATGGGAAGCTAGTGCATGATACTTTTTTGTTGTCTCCAAAGGATGGTTCATAGATGCTACCAAGTCAAATGACCCAATAACTCGACCACGTTGAATTTGTTTTCAAAGCAAGACGATGCTAAGGAGTTGGGGTAGGTCTTAGGTTCAAAACTTGCCTTAAAAAATATTAAAAATATAAAAAGTTAGATAAATAAATAAATAAAAAGAATTCCTCTACAATTTCTCTTGGGTGATTTATTGTTGATGCTGTCCATCATAAAATATAGAGACTTCTGATTTTGAAATATGTTATCTTCACCTATGGGCTCAAAATTTATACTAGTTATAGCACTAAGTCAAACATCCATACGCCATTACACATTCTGTTTTATTTTCACAAACGGTATCAGAAATTACCATCTGCTAAGTTAGCCTCTGTTATTACTGAAAGATTTGTCTATCCATGTCCCCTTGTGAAAAATTCTGAACCAAAAAAAAAAACAAAAAGCAGCTTTTGTTTATCTTCTTTGGATGAGCTAAATGTTCTTCGCAGTTTGGTTAGAGATATTCCCGCATTGCCTTCTCAGGTGTCTTTCCTCTATTGTGTTAAATCACTTGGTCAATTTCTTAACATTAATTTATCGTTCATGGCATCCAATCTACCAAACTTTGACCAGATTTATTAGTGTTGAAATTACAATCCCAAATTTTGAAAGGGATCCCCATAGGACAAGTTCTTCCCCTCACATCAATAACAGAGTGATGGTTATGCATTGCCTCCCATTATTGGACATCCAAAACTATCAAATTCATGACGTTGATTCACTGTTCAACCTAAAGAACTGAACCCAAACTGATGTAAGGGGGTGTTTGAGAAGTGGGTTTAGTGGTTTTTTTGGCTAAAATAACCAATAAAAACAAAATAGGCTAAAATAGCCAATAAGACAATGTCACATCTAAATCATAATCATTTCACTTTTTCGCTCAAAACTATCTTCTCAAACACAACTTTTTTAGCCAGGCTAAAATAGCCAAAGAACCAACCCATAATAGGAACAAAAAAAATTCTTCAACAACAGTCGCAAAGAGTGCAAGAAAGAGAAAACAAAAGAAAGCAGCTAATCTGACCAATTATAAGATAGTATTGTCCTATATGTTACATTATGCATTCGTGACAATGTTCTTGTAAGGGGGAAGACCTAATTCAAAATTTGGGAACTACTGCCCAACGTATCAAAAGAAAAATCAAAGTCCTTTGGAAATGCAAAGTCTGCGGAACAACTTAATCCCGAAGAAAACTCTAGCGAGGTAAATCCCTGGAAGATAAAAGGTTCAAGAGCAAGCCCGTGCCCAAGCCCAAGGATAACAAATTCCAAGTCATGGCTTCAAATAGGCAAATTCCTCGGATATGAGTCTCTCGGAGGACGATATCCTCGAAGAAACCCAACAGATGAGAAACACTATAATAATTTCTACTGAAAAAGGGTCAAAGACCCCATGATAGCTTCAGTTTTCCGAGGTCATAGAGATTAAGCCTTCTTCAAAGCTAGAAAGGCCGCCAAACGATCCATATTTAAAACCTGCGTCCTACAAAGGAGCCAAATAACCCAAGGCTCCCCAGATAGCTTTTCTGAGATTGTGCAATGCAACTCTCTCGAAAATAGGAAGGCCAACCATTAGCCCCTATTCAAAACCAGCGTCCTACAAAGGAGCTAAAGACCCCAAGGCTCCCCAGATAGCTTTTCTAAGATTGAGCAATGTGACTCTCTCAAAGATAGGAAGGCCAGCCATTCGCCCCTATTCAAAAATCGCATCGTACGAAGGAACCAAATACCCTAAGGCTCCCCAAATAGCTTTCCAAGATGCAACGGCAAGTCCTTATCGAAGATAGGAAGACCAGCCATTCGCTCCTATTCAAAACTGCTTCTGTAAGTGGGTCCAACCATATTGAGGCCCAGGACACCTTCCGATGGAAATCATGATCAAGTCCCCATTAATTATACAAGCGAAACAATCATATCCACCCACCGTCAAAATGGCAAGACTTGTGAAGTCTCTCAGACTTTAAACATCAAGGAAGATGTATAGACTATGCTCTGTTGGCTTCATCAGGAAGTGGGGAGAAGCTATGGTTTGGTGGCTAAAAGTAAGAGAACGTTTAGGTATTTGTGAATCTATCAAACTACAGTTACTCTCGGAAGCACCCAAGGGGATAACCCTGGGGAAAGAAGATTGCATTTGCCTCGACTAGACAATACGAGAGAGGAATATTCCATGTGGTTCCTAAAGGTCACGTAGCAACGTTATACATGTTTGCTTGGCCCCCCAAGATTGGCCTAAGCGCCTATAAATAGGAACCCATATTTCATAAATCCTAATTCATGCTTGAGTGAGGCCATTCACCAAGAGTGAGGGGTAGTGGTGTACAAGGATATTCGGCCATTCTCTATCTACTCCGTTTGTCTTGCGTTTCACCCCACGGTATTTCTCTCACCATCTTCATCTTCATCTTCTTGTACCAATCATTCACCAGTTTCACCTCACCATTTCATTACCTTTCATTATTACACTATCTCCATTTGAAAAGTTCTCAAGAAATCTACATGGAAGGAAACCATACAAGTTTATGAAATTATAAACCTAATACAAGAAAACCCATGGAAGCATACTTATCAAAAGAAAAAGAAAAAAAAAAAAGCAAACACATAGAAGCATGAACCACAAAACAGTTTATGCAAACAACAACAAACCTCATTAGAACTACTTAAGGGGTCCGCTACTGAAAAAAAAAAAAAAAAAAAAAAAAAAAAAAAAAAAAAAAGAAAGAAAAAAAAAAATCATTTCTATCCTTTTATGGCCGTACATGTAATTGAATCGTACATCACCACAATGTCTTCCTCTACATCATACATCCGTGCTTTTTTGGTCTTATTCCAGTTGTTTGTAGCGCCTCATAACTAAAGGTGCATATGTGTACCATAGAATTTCCCTTCTATAAACAAGCCTTTTAATGAATTTCAACAACACAGCCCAGAGACACCAATTTCACTCAAACCAATGACCTCAAATAAAAATATAAATAAACAAATAAAATAAAAAATAGTGAGAACCCTAAAATGAAAAATCTAAAAAATGCCTTCAGAATCTCAGAAGACAGTTAAAGAAAACAAAACAAAATAAAGTAAAATAAAAACCCCCAAATCTTGAATGTACATATCCATAATTATCTGAGATAGAGCTCACTCTGTACGACAGAACACACACACACACACAAATGGTCTTCTGCAACATTCTAGCTTCTTAAAACATATGCATCAATGTAAATAGAGCTCATCTGTGACATCCCACTCAACCACTGAGTAGAAATTGAACAATTAAACTGAAAGTAAACTAATTCAAAGAGAACCAAGAGATCAGTATACTTCCAAGATAACCTCAATGCCACATAAATATACATACACACATAATTGTAGAGAGAGAGAGAGTGTGAGAGAGAGGGTACCTTGAGGGGAGAAGGAACCAAATGGGTACGGCGTTTGGTTTGATCCAAAGCAAAGTGAATGAATTTCTGATAAGAGAAGCCAGAGACTTCCATTAAAGGTCTCAAATTTCTTCTATTACTTGTATTCTTGTATAAAGATAGAGAAATACGAGTATCGTACAATAAGGGAGGCTTTGATAGTGTTGAGAAAAAGCTCAACGAAGTACATGACTCCATTGCAGAAGAACCCGACAACAGCTTCAAAAACCAGGCTCTAATTCTGCGGTCATAACAGCCACCCAACTCCTCTCCCCTGTGCCTAGCATAAAGGAACTGTTTTTAAGTTAGTAAAACTAGCTTTTTTTTTTCTTTTTTTTTTTTTTTTTTAATTTAATTTATTGTTTTATTGTTGTTGTTGTTGTTGTAACTAATGCTGAAAATCTCAAATATTTTATTAGGGGCATTTATATATAAGTTTTATTTTGTAAATTTATAATTCATTAAATTTTAAATAAAACTATTTACTTCTTCAAGTTCCATTCATTTTTTATAGCCCAATTTATCCTTCCCAGACCTTCTCATAGCTGCCAAACATCATTGCTATCTTCATTCTCTCTCTCTTCACATTTGCAATTTGAAGTTCTACGCAACTTCAGTTCGACGAACATGGGTGATTCAAGTTCACAAGGGTAATTTAGGTCCTTTTAGTAAAGACGATTTAAATTTCTTCAGGTCTGATGTGAACAGGAAGGCGACTGGACAGGTCGACTTAATCCGAATCGAAACACTTCATCATGCTGACAAGTAGGAGTGAGCATGGTACAGATTGGACAAGATTGGGGTAAAATTAGGACCAATCTAATCCATTTAAATCGTGGAACCAATCCGAACCAATCCATTTAAACACAGATTTGATCGGTTTAGGACCACGGATTTACATAATTAAATGACAAAAAAATATATGTAACACTTTAATTTTATAAAAATATAAATATAGCACTATATTAGTTTCACAATAACATGTATTTTCATAATAGTAACATATTGTTCTATAATTTAAACAACCGTAAGAAAATTGGTTCTACCATAAGTATTTAGACCATTACAAATTAACATTAAAAACTAGCAAATAAAAGTAATAAAAGAAGATACCATGTGAGTTTAGGTTTGAATTTAAGTTTTATATAAAATAAGAGAAGATACTATGCAGGAGGGTGTATAATAAAAATATAGACTATTTGTATACGATCCGGATCGGTTCCAATCTGGAATCGTGGGGTTCAATCCGAAATCAATCCGTGAACTACGAATTTTTAATTTTTTAATCCGGAACTGAACCACGGATTCAAAAAATCAATCCAAACCTACTAAATTCGTCTAGACTGGATCGGATTACGGATTTCACGGATTCCTTGCTCAGCCCTACTGAAGCTTACATTCTTGAATTGGTGGTGTGACTTCATCATCTTGTTTCCTAATCAAAGGCTGCAACAAATGGTGGAATCAGATCCCCTATTAAATCCCCAATTCGCTCGCCGAATCAGAAGATGATTCAATTATCCACACATAAATCCAGTTCTCCATCACCCACGCTGACAGTTGAAGATCAAGAGATGCTTCGGGATGTAAGCAAAAGGAAACTGACACCTGGCATAAGTAAAACTAACACAACCAAGTAAAACTACTAGCCTTCACAACATTATTTACATTTTGGCCTATATGTTCTTTTCGAGAGCTTCTATCTACACACACCAAATACCCACTTTGCACATCCTTCTCACTACACACACCAAAAAAAATCATTCTCAATTCTTTTACTCACTATGCACACATTTGATTCCACATCTACCCACACACACTCTCTCTCTCTCTCTCTCACACACACACACCACACCCACTCTCAAACCCAGCTCTCCCGACGGTGCACACCCATTGAAGCTGCATCTCTCACATTGCTCTCCCAACGGTGCAAATACACCCATTGATGCTGTGTTGCATCTCTCACATTGCTCTCCCAACGGTGCAAATAGCTCCCTACTTCACACAGTTGGGGTAACTTTTTTCACCAATCTTTAATTTGTTCATTTGCCAAATGGCTCCCAACGGCTAGCATACCCCATGTTCATTTGTAATGTAGAGTTTTTCATTTGTAATGTAGAGTTTTTCATTTGTAATCGTCGTTCGGAACTGGTTTTCCGAAATATAACAATTTGTTCGGACGTAGAAATTCGAAAATAATCAATAATTTCATCAGTAGATTTCCAAAAATGTTTCATTGTTTCGATAGTCAACTTCTGAAAAATTTGAATTTGGACAACACTCAACTTCCGAAATTATGTTTGTGTTTCAGATTTCAACTTTCGAACAGAATATGTATTTTCGGTTGTGAACTTCCGAGTAGGTCTGTTTGTTTTTTTTTTTTTCCTTCTGTTGTATATTGTTGTTTGAAGGGAGCTTATATTTCCACATTTCCCCTCTTTACACACACTTAATAAACACACTTATTATAATTTACACACACTTATTATAATTTTGTTAAACACTTATCAGTAATTTCACTTGAATAAACACTTATTATAATTTCCCACACTCTCATTACACACACTTATTATAATTTTACACACTTATTTACACACACTTATTATAATTTTACACAGACTCTCATTACACACACTCATTACACACACTTATTTGAATTTTACATATATCTTTATTTACACACACTTGTTTGCATGGCCATTCTTTATTTACACACACTTATTATTTTTTGCAGATAATATGGATTCTGAATGTCAACAACGTGTCCCACTAATTATTCTGAGTAGCGGAGGAGCACACCAGTTCGTCAGCCTTGGGAATGTGTACCGGGTTACATGGATTGGTATAAGAATATCACGCACCTATATGTTGAGCACACTGATGAACCGCGTGTCCATGACCATCAGGATTTCAACCAACATGCCGATATAATATATTATCCTCTCTTATGCATTTGTAACTTACTTTTTATTTTCTGATATGTTCCCTAAAATGTGATATTCTTTTCAAATACAGCGTATTACACATGCACTGTAGATTTCACATCCGATTATTGACGCTGGTTATGAGGAGAGGATTCGACATCCGTATTGACTTTACTAGGCTATCGAGAGTATGACGCATGTCCTTCAAGGTCAGCACATTGACGAAGCTGGACCTAGTTCTGCTGGACCTAGTTATACTGGAGGTCGCTTTCCATCTTCAACATTGACATACAGTCGTAGGCCTAGGCGTAGACATACAGCTGATTCGTGACATGTTATTTGTTAGTTGATGAATTTTTTTTGGTGTTTTTTGTAAGATGATATTGTTGTAATGGTAACAGTGGTTAATATTTTCTTATTAGAATGGAATGGCAACAATGGTATTGTAAAGACATTGTAATGACATTTTATTATTAGAATGGAATGGTAACAATGGTCGTTGATTTTGTAAATGATATTTTCTTATTACAATGAAATGGTAACAATGGTTGATAATATTCAATCCAGATTGCAAAACAGAACACATCAACATCAAAAACACATCTATTAATTTCTTTCATCATTCTAACATTGTCAAATGCATACATGTGTCATGCGACATCAACGACATCAAATGTCTCTCGAGTAAATACATTATCATGAATAATGTCCTCGAAATGTTAAATGCGACGCACATATGCATTATCCCAGTCGACAGCGCAAGGGTGACGGTATTTTCGCCAATTAGTGGCTATAGGAGGAACTGGATGGCCTGGCTGCAACAAAACCTGCACCAAATATTAATTGAGTTAGTGGTCATACCTCATAATTTCTTGTACATGCACAAACCCAATTGATAAGTTTCTGTTTTACTTGGACGAAATGATTTCCGTTGAAAAACCCAATGGCAATCTCACGTCTATCAAGTTGAGGTATTGGCACTGTTCTACGAGGTAAAAAGGTGAGACATTGTGTAGACGTCCCCGAATGCCCCGGGAGGGACGAGCTCCCGTTCTGTTCATTTTGAGGTCACTACAGCTCAGGACTCTCCAAATTTGTCACGGTTCTAAGTCTGAACCAAAGAGTCCAAATCCGGTAAATCGTTTTGAGAAAACAGATTTTGAAAGAAGTGCCAAACATGGACTGCTTTGCTAGATACAGAGTCGCCACCTAAATATTTTATTTTGGGAAAATTTAGGAAACCCTGACTCGGTGCCAAAGGCCACGTGTCCGTCATCACCAAAGTTGCCTCGGCTCGGGAACTTGGGTACGATTGGGGAAGGTCACTTCGTGAGCACCCCCGCTCGCCCGATCAAAGATCGGCCTCTACTAACCATGATATCTAGTTTTGAAAACTTTGTGTGTTCTTATTCCGGTTATTAGCCTAGGTTACTATGTGATGCGCACAGCATATAAGTATAGACCGAGTCACCTGAATTGGAACGAAACATTTCATGTTTGTTTTTTGAAAGGTGGTTTGCTACTCGCAAATAGGCTTAAAATGCAGATTTTGCCACCCTCGGGTGGGTTTAAGAAAGGATGGTTTTGCCACTATCTAATGGGCTTAAAACTCACATTTGATGAATTGTCCCAATCCAAATAACCCAACCTTCACCCACAGGCATTCAGGCAGATATATCACATAAGCATTTAGCCTCATGGCAAGCATGCTATTCATGGCACTCACTCACACGCATGCAAGGATGCTAAAGCATAAAACTTACCGAGTACTCCAAGCCAAAACAGACATTCATTAGAAATCATGCATGATCCTAAGTATACAGAAATGCCTAATGCAACACATGCTGTAACAAGCCCGCGGGGGACCTCGCTACAGCTCGGACTCGATTTGTGTCACGGTTCTAAATCTGAACCAAAGAGTCCAAATCTGGCAAATCGTTTTGAGAAAACAGATTTTTGAAAGAAGTGCCAAACATGGACTGCTTTGCCAGATACAGAGTCGCCACCTAAATGTTTTTTAAATGGGAAATTTAGGAAACCCTGACTCGGTGCCAAAGGCCACGTGTCCGTCATCACCAAAGTTGCCTCGGCTCGGGAACTTGGGTACGATTGGGGAAGGTCACTTCGTGAGCACCCCTGCTCGCCCGGTCAGAGACCGGCCTCTACTAACCATGATATCTAGTTTTGAAAACTTTGTGTGTTCTTGTTCCGATTATTAGCCTAGGTTACTATGTGATGCGCACAGCATATAAGTATAGACTGAGTCGCCTGAATTGGAACAAAACATTTCATGTTCGTTTTTTTGAAAGATGGTTTGCTACTCGCAAGTAGGCTTTAAAACATTTGATGATTTATTCCAATTTAA